TCTCCCTCTCTCTCTCTCTCTCTCTCTCTCTCTCTCTCTCTCTCTCTCTCTCTCTCTCTCTCTCTCACACACACACATGCACACACAAGAACACTCACACACACACACATATGCACACACACACACACACACACAAGAACACACACACACACACATATGCACACACAAGAACACACACACACACACACACACATATGCACACACAAAACACACACACAGTTTCTGTCATGATTAGATGAAAAATATATGCATTATCAGGTTTCAATTTACAGGTTTTCTTCAAATATTTTGAACATCAAATATTAGAAATATAATCCAAAATTATCAAATCAAAACAATATACATTATAGATAGTGAATCCTGATGGCACCTGGATCAAATTGGATGCTAAGAGCACAGCTAACTACTGCCACGAGACTGATGGAGAGGCGTGGTCCCTGGTGCGAGGCAGTAACGGCATCACATATCTACAACATGTGGATGACATCAGTGGGGAAATAAAGGACCCGTTTGCCTTTGGTTTTGGAGCTTCTGCCCTTGGTTCCACTGCGGCACCCCCAACACTGGGAGCTGAAGGAGAGGCTGCAGGAGGTGATGGGAAGGGATATGATTTCACTTCAGCACAACACACTCCGTTCACTTTCTTTGGAGCATCAAGTCAAGGTAAACACTATTGAATCCCTGACATTCTTAGCATTTTTTTTTCATTTTATAAATCTAATTTTCAGATAGACATACTGGAAGGAGTCAGATATGTGAAGTTTGTTGGTGGTTGAATAAAATTTTTTGGCATTCAACATCAAGTAGTCTGTCAAGGTCTTAAACATATTTGACCTTGAACTGGCAAGACATTCTTTATTCACTTTGCTTGTAGGCGGCAATGAAGAAATCTTTTTTTTTTCATGAGCTTTGTTACAAGTATCTCTGTCATTTCATTGATTACTGGTAATTTTAAGGATCATGATTTTATAAGCATCAGATTGTGACACCCTTTCATCTTTCTTCTGTGGATTAATAGTTTAGATTGGAGCTTATAAAGATTTATTTGCTAAGTGACTATCTTCTGCTGATCCCATCCCATGTATTTATTTTCTTATTAACATTTCATATTTATCTGGTAACTATTATGGCAGGATGCAGTTAGTGAGGTCTGAAGTAAATTAAGGTTGTCTTCTTGCTAAGTGCCATTGCTTTGCTTGCAGCGCCATCTACATTTATGAATACATCAAATGATGCTATAAATACTGGAGTGATGCTAGGACCTGGCACCTCTGGCTCCCCATTTGTATTTGGGAGTGGGTCAGGGGCAGGTAGGGACAGCCTGCCAAAATATAGACGACTCAGTGTTGTAAATTGTTGTGTGTTTATGTTGAAGAGTTTTCTTTTCAATCCTTCTTCAAATGTTTTTGCTGTGAAATTAAACGTTTTTGTCAACTGAGGTTTTGCACCAATAATATTGAAATATACTCATGAAAGAAATGTATTGTTTTAGACCCCATTCCCACAGATTTTAGATCGATCTATCCCTGTGGGGAGTCTCACAAGATTACTGTCAGCTTAGCCAGCTTAAGCATCTGTCCCACCTACTAAAAGCTGTAAGGGGGTAATTAACTACCGTGAGCGCTTGGCTGACATCAATTTAGCGTGAACCCCCAGGGAGTTAGGTCGATCTAGATGGATAGATCTAAATCTATGGGAATGCAGTCTTAGATATAATTGTATGAGTTGGTGATATTCCAACAACCTGAAACCTGAAACTGTCAAATTATAAAAACTGATTTGGCGTGTGAAAACAAGTATGATTGAAAAATAAAATTTGTTATGATGACATGGATGTTTGATATTGGTAAATTTTCTTGTATATGATGTAAATATTTAGGGGAAGGAATCTTTCACAGATTATTTTTCAGATTTATTTCTGTGTGCTGTTGTGAGTTTTAAAGTAACAACTGTACATATCCTGTTTTACAGTATCTCCTACCTTTAAAAAACACTTATTTCTTTATGCATGCAGTACTATGTTGTCTTCATATTATATTCAGAGAAAAATTACTTTAAGCATTGTGCTATCTAATATGACACTGTTAATTAAGACAATTGTAGAAAGTGGGAGGGGAGATGGAAGCTGTCATGTCAATTATGATCAAATATTCCTTGTTTTCTCTGTATTACATATTTAAATACTTACTTTGTTCTACCATATATAATATAACTGTTAATACTAAAATACAACATACGTAATGTTTTGCATGTATTAGGTTTATTCTACATATTTGTTCATGTTTATTTGTTCTTCATAGTCAAAACACCCTTTGGTGCCCCAGCCACCCCAAGCAGCCCCAGAACAGCAGCAGGTACCAACTTCACCTTCCCAAAGAACCCAGAAGATTACGAGGCCCTCAAAGGAGCTGCACCTTTCAAGTTAAGCAAGGATATGGGAGCAGACTTTGAGCCAGGGATAAAGGGACAAGATTATCCGTTCAGGTTCCCCAAGGAATTTGGGGACATGGTCCCCTCTGTGGGACCAGGGAGGGCCACTCCACCTCAAGTAGGAAGCGCTATGTCCCTGACCCCGCCCTCAGGGAGGATGGATGGGTCAGGGGACGGCATCGACACCCTGGGGGTGCCGGGAGTGTCAATTAAAGATCTGGTGAAAGCTTTAGGTAGGTTAAAGAGATGAAAATTCTTACTGAATCATGAAGTGATGTGCATCATGGTTACTTTGAAGTTTATTTGAGCGTGTGTTGAAGAGCATTAAACTTTGCTGTGTTGATTTATAGTCTTTGTGGTAGTTGCTGTTATCTTGCTCACGTGTAGGGGGTGTATAACGGCAGATAGATGGTCTCAGAGGTGGGAGGCATTTAAGGAGAGGCAGACATGTGGGGGACATTTAAAAGTGGGCCGACTCAGACGAGGGGGACATTTAAGCAGGGGAGGGGGGAGTTGAACATGCAAATTTTTTAGTTGATATAAAAATGACAGGGGCAATTTTTAAGTTCATTTAAAGTTTGTAAGTCTATCTTTTAATTAATTTTAGTACAAATGTTGACAGGAATTGATGTTGTGTGGTCTTAATGTTGTGTTCTTATGTTAATATGGCTAATTTNTTTTTAATATCCTAGACCCCTTAAGTGCGACTTCTATATATCATTATGAACAGGGGAAATGAACGGAAAAATAAAAAGGGACAGGTTCTACCGAGATTTGAACTCGGATCGCTGGATTCAGAGTCCAGAGTGCTAACCATTACACCATAGAACCACTCATGTGAGAAAAAAACCTCATATCCCTGAATAACACACACACACACACACACACACGCAATGTAATATCAAATACTCAATCCATATAATCATGATTTTTTATAATATTGGAGACTTTCCACCATTCTTGTCGCTATTGGCTAGGAACCATTGTCCATTTTTATCATTATATACAGCTGGCATTTACCGTACTCCATATACTGACCCTGATAACTGCGTCTAACCCTTACCTGTGAAATAACCATACGGAACCTCTGACTTTAATTCCTGGGAACGGAAGTACAAAAGATAGCAAAAACGATGCTAGCTCTAGAAACAGATATTTCGCAAATGAAGAAATGGCAATGCTTTGTCTTTTACTCAGTGTTTGCACATCAAGACGGTCATTGTCACCCGAACAATAAGTCAATCCCAACGTGACATGAAATGCAAACACAGCTAGAAACGTCATCTCACGTAACAATAATATGACGTCATAAGTACGGGGTTATCGCGGAGCCGTTGTCATAACGTTAGATTATCCAATGTTCCCTCACTGAACGGTGTGTTCCATGAGAAGTGAAGAAATAAGAAATGTTTCATGTCTGTAGATCACAAGCGCTAGATCTTCGGGTGAAAAAATCCACTTATTTGGTGAGTTTATAGAATTCCTTGAACTCTTTTTTTTTCTCTGTGCGGTTGTGTGTGTCCTTGTTGTATTATGGTGAATTCATTAAAAAACGAAGCCGAAAGGTTCTACCGAGACTTGAACTCGGATCGCTGGATTCAGAGTCCAGAGTGCTAACCATTACACCATAGAACCAGTTCTTCGAAGTACATCAACCGCATATCCCAAAAGGTAAACACAGCGCGAAACATCATCTAACGTAACAATGATATTACGTCATAAGTGCGGGATTATCGTTGTCATAACGTTGGATTATCCAGTGTTCTAACGGTATATTCCACAATAAGGCGTTATGAGTTAAGAAATAAAATTGAAAAAATGTATAGCATCTGTACATTACTAGCGCTAGGTCTGCTTATTTTGTGAGTTTATAGAATTTCTCAGTGTGTATGTGTGTGCCCTTGTTGTATATTGGTGAAATGCAATAACAAATTTTAACTCTCCGTGCAACATTGCACATATAATAATTACAGTGGACAGGTACTTATTTCAGTGAGCGTTTGGATTAAATCATAGGATTACAATAAATGAAGTATTTGTTTGACAGAGTGATCAATGAAACTATTGTGTGGGTTCTGTTTGTAAATACAGATTTTTAATTCTAATTTTTCGTATTGTTATTTTGTAACACACACAATAAATGCCCATACCCAGTCTATTTAGAGGAGACGCTTATTCATTAGTATGGTAATTTGTTAAGGGCAACGTTGAAGACACTAACTTCTGCGGTTGTTTCAAAAGAAAGAACGAAAGGTTCTACCGAGACTTGAACTCGGATCGCTGGATTCAAAGTCCAGAGTGCTAACCATTACACCATAGAACCAATTATACACACATTTCATATTATTTTTACCATAGGGAAAATGAACGACTGCTTAATATCATTCGATTTTAAAAGCAGCCACAATTAACATGTATCGCTTAATATAAAACACTCACTGACTAACACACAAACAGACACACACACACACACACACACTCGATTAAATGTAGACAATATTGCCAAGAGATAGTTACTAATTCGGGTCGGGATGGGCGAAATTTAGTCAATGATTTGAAAATGCAAATTTTATTTGGTAATAGAGGAAAAAGTGCTTTGGCGAAGAATCATAATTGAATACATTTGACAATTATCTTTGACTGCATTCCCACAGACTTTAGATCGATCTATCCCCGTGGGGAGTCTCACTAGATTACTGTCAGCTTAGTCGGCTTAAATGTCTGTCCCGCCTACTAAAAGCTGTAAGCGGGTAATTAACTTCCGTGCGCGTTCGGCTGACAGCAATTTAGCGTGAGCCCCCAGGGAGTTAGGTCGATCCAGATGGATCGATCTAAATCTGTGGGAATGCACTCTTTAAGGTAATGCACAATTATAGAAAGCGCGCTCAGTATCTGTACATTGCCGTCTAGTGTAAATGGGGCTTTAAATTTCCATGTATTTTGTACACATTGTTGGATACTGTGTCACAATGAACATATACTGGAAGAGGGGGTGGGGGGGGGAGGAATATTTAAAAAAAAAGAGGTTCTACCGAGATTTGAACTCGGATCGCTGGATTCAGAGTCCTAACCATTACACCATAGAACCACATGTAGTATATGTTTTGTTAAAATCTCGCCGTGAACACACGTCTGATTTCTATCGTTTGATTTTAAATGCTACGTCAATTTTAGATGAAACGTGTAACCGCGTATCCCGGAATATAACGCACACACAGACACACGCACTCGCACACACACAATGAAATATCAAATACATAGGCCATACTCCATGTAATCATGCATTTTTGTTATTTTATTGGAGACGTTCTGCCATTCACCTCATTTACTGACTCTGATACCTCCACGTCTAACCCTTACCTGTGGAAACCTTATGGAACCTCAGTCTTTAATTCCTAGGACTACCATTTCTGTCACAGATTATTTTCGCATGAAATCAAGGTTCACTTTCTTCATACGCGGGATAAATGGTCATTTTTTTCTACAGGTATTAGAGTGGTGAGATTACTGGAAAACCTGCCAAATGGAATGTATTGAACTGGCCAAATATATGTTTATACTATATAATGAATAATTTTCGATAAAAGTATTTGCAGATATAAAGAGATATTTTTGTTAGTTTTTGCTAGTAAGGAACCAATAAAGATAGCAAGGATGATGCTACATGTAGCTTTCGAAACCCATATTTTGCAAATCAAATAGAAAATAACAATGTTTCGTCTTTTACCCAGTGTTTGCACACCGGAAACAGCCATGGTCTGCTCAATAATGAGCCAATCCCTACGTGACGCGAAACGTAAACATGACTAGAAACGTCATATAGCAATATGACGTCATAAGTACGGGATTACCGCGTAGCCGTTGTCATAACGTTGGATGAACCAGTGTTTTCATGTTGAACGGTGTATTCCACAAGAAGTTGTTATCAGTTCAGAAACAAGAAATGTTTCGTATGTGTAGATTACAAGCGCTAGATTTTCGGGTGAAAAAGTCCACTTATTTGGTGAGTTTATAGAATTTCTTGAATTCTTATCAGTTTCCGTTTTCTTTCTCTTCTCGTGTTTGTGTGTGTGTTTGTGTATGTGTGTGTGTGCCCTTGCTCTATAATGTTGAATTGCATAAACAAACGTTACCTCTTCGCTCAAAATGGCACATAAGTTTCAAGTGTTTGCAGTGGACAGGTACATGTATTTATTTCAGTGCACATTTCGAATAAAATCATTAGATTACAATAAATGAAATATTTGTTTCACAGAGGATTCATTGACACTATCTTGTGGTCTTCATTTCGTGGTTTAGATGAAATTTTAAATACAGATTTTTTTCGTATAGTAATTTTTTAACACACATGCAATATACCCATACCAAGTTTATATAGAGAGGCCACTTGTGTTATGGGCAACGTTGAACGGCACCTAAAAGCTCTGCGGTTGTTTTGAAAGAAAGAACGAAAGGTTCTACCGAGATTTGAACTCGGATTCAAATTCAAAGTGCTAACCATTACACCATACAGCCACATATCAGAATTACTCATTATACCCACTTTTATATCATTATAACCTGTAAGGGACGCGGTGGCGCCCCTTAGCATGTCCCACGCCCCTAGGATGTCGCGGCGCCCCTTAGCATGTCCCACGCCCCTAGGATGTCGCGGCGCCCCTTAGCATGTCCCACGCCCCTAGGATGTCGCGGCGCCCCTTAGCATGTCCCTCGCCCCTAGGATGTCGCGGCGCCCGCGCCTAGACTAGAAAGACTTATTATAAGGTCGTATTTAAATGAGACATCAAGGTAGATATAAAGAGAACAGGTGGTGGTTAGAGAGGAGGACTTAGGCAGTGGGAATAAAGCTGTTTGGAAATCCACGACTCTTGTTGCTAACGTCTTCTCGATCTGTGAACCTAAAATCGAATCTTACACACACACACGCGCGCGCGCATATACAGCATGATAATCTGGTGGGGATGCAAACGCAACTCTTCCCCTTCCGGGGGGGGGGGGGGGGGGGGGGAATAAAAGCAAAAAGGAGAGGTTCTACCGAGATTTGAACTCGGATCGCTGGATTCAGAGTCCAGAGTGCTAACCATTACACCATAGAACCAAATATATCATATTTCTTTTATTATAATCACGGGATGCATATATGGCTGTTTTATATCGTTTAATATAAAATGCTACGTTATGTTACTGCATATCCTTGAATATAACGCACGCACAGACAGACACTCTCGCACACACAATGTAATTTAAATATTAAATCCATGTAATCTTGCATTTTTTTATTGGAGACTTTCTACCATTCTTGTCTCGATTTGCTAAGAACCATAGTCCTTTTTTTATTATTATATACAGCCGGCATTTACCGTACCCTATATACTGACCCTGATACCTGCGTCTAACCCTTACCTGTGCAATAACCTTATGGAGCCTCATTCCAAGTATATATATATATATATATATATATATATAGAGAGAGAGAGAGAGAGAGAGAGAGGCTGCTTTTTACCTCCGCCAAGGAGGTTATGTTTTCACCCCTGTTTGTTTGTTTGTCTGTCTGTCATCAACATAGCTCAAAAAGTCATGGATGAATTTCGATGGAATTTTCAGGATAGGTCAGAAATAGGTTAACTTAGAA